GAAGAAGACAGGGGCTCTGCAAGTTCCTTAGAAAGTTCTTTGAGCACTCTTGGGTGCACACCATCCGGCCCAGGGGATTTGTATTCGTCCAGTGCAGCCAGGGGTCCACAACCCCTGTCAATGTCAACTGGACACTCAGGTGTCCTGTCATGTCCTCTACCATCTCTAGATGGGCTCGAGTTCTTCATGGAGAAAACAGAGGCAAAAATGCCATTAAGCCTGTCTGCTTTTTCTCTGTCCTCCACCAGAGTTTCTCCTTCTACTCCCAAAAGCAGTCCAATTGCCTCTTTTATTTATTTATTTATTTATTGGGTTTCTATCCTACTCTCCCCGTGAACATGCTCAGGGCGGCTTACATTTAAAGGCACTTTGTGTTTGCTTCTCACATATCTGTAGACATTTTTCTTATTGTAGCGAGACCCCCTGGCCAGACCCAATTGAACAGCTGGTTTCTTATCTCATTACATATGCTAACTCATTCAGTCCTTACATGTGTATTCTCAGCAAGAAGGCCTATACATCCTCTGTATTTCAGTGTATTTCTGCATGTAATGCAAGGAATATTGGGATGTTTTGCTGACACCCAATCTAAAAAAAAATTGCTGTTAATTTACCTCCACGCCTGAGAGGAGATGAATGGTGAGTCTTGATTTACTCCCTGCAATTAGAAAAGATGCCTTTACACACTTATCCCCTATGTATGTATATTTATTGCTTTGGTGTCCTTTCCCCCTCTTAATTAAACCAAAACAACTGTTGATTTTATAACCTTAGCTTGTTTTTGCATATCTTAAAACATTTTCATCATGTTACATGTAAATTTGCTGTTCAGCCCGTCTACTAGTCTCCCATTCCAGTGTATCTGACGAAGCGTGCGTGCCCACGGAAGCTCATACCTTGTTGGTCTTAAAGGTGGACTCCAAATTTGTCGTAACATTGCAAGCCACCTTGGGTTCGACAGGATAGAAATGTGGCTAATAAACATTGTAACTAACTAAGCAGGATCTGCTGTGGGTGAAGCAGCTTCTGATATCTTGCAGCCTATGTAATTTGTATTTATATCTAAGGGCTCATCTCAGAAGATACTTGACTTAACTGCAGGGTTCTGCTGAATGTCCACTAATTTCAGCTTTCAGGATGAAACGTGTCTTGGGGTGAAGGGCAGTTCCCCTCCCCGAATGTGCGAGCGTTTTCTTCCCCAGTGGAAATGCCCCCGCCGGGTCCTGGCTGAGCTCCTTCCTCCTCGCACCCATTTGAGGGAATGTTCCCCATCGTCCCCCTTCCGCTTCACTCTCACCTTGGCTGCTCTCATCACAGCAGAGGGAACGCACTGGAGGCAGGGCTGCCAAGTGGGGGCAGGGGGCGGGTAAATCCCCGCTTTGGAGGCCCGATTTCCGCTGCCGCGGAATCGGGCCCTGGGGGGAACCCCACCCCCGTGTGCACATCACCAGGAAGTGACGTGGGCACGCCGGGCACGCTGGTGGCGGGGCCATGGCCATACAAGGAAAAACTCTATGGTTTTCCCTTGTATGGCCATGGCCCCGCCCCCAGCGCGCCTGGCGTCCTTCCATCACTTTTGGGTGAACGTGACCACTCGCGCACACGCACAAGACACCGGCCGGGAGCCCCCCGCTCCCAGCGAAGATACCCTTGGCAACCCTAGCTGGAGGCAGTGCTGGTTACAGCTCCTTTTGCACAACGACGGCAGCTGTGTGGATTGAGCCAGCCCAGGTCTTTGTGACTCAGGAGGAGAACATGCTCTTTCCCCCCCTGGTGGTCTCTTCCTGGGGGTGTTCTCCTGGGCCCTGCTTTAGCAGCCGGACTGCTGCCTGTTTCATGAGCGGCCTGCTGGAGACCTCGGCCTTAGACTGCTTTCCCATAAATCCTTCTCAGTGCAGCTGCAGGTGTCTCCTCTATGCTTCCTTCTGAACAAAGGATTCCCCCCGTTTCCCAGGAGTGGAGTCAAGGAAGTCATAAGTCTGTTCCTTGCAGCTCTTCAGGAAACCCACTTACCATTCTTTGAAGATTTCGCTCACCCCATCCTGAAAACTTGAGGTTAATAACAGATCATAATAAGTGCTCCTGTATGATGTGAAGACCCTCCTTGTACCACAGAGGCCTCGTCCTCCGGCACTGAGCCTGGGGGCCCTGTGGCTACTGGAAGGCGATGGAGGGGCCCTGCCTTTCTTTGGAAGGCCTCCCACGGATAGGGTCTTTGGGGGTGCATTTACGATTGCAGTATGGCAGGGGAGCACTCTCTCCCTCTCTCCCACTCTCTCTTGAGGACTCTGCAGCAGAGAGGCTGGCGTTGTGGCTGCAGCCCTTGCCCTGAGCACAGTGAAGCTCTGACAGAGGACAAGCGGAGCCCACGTGGGCAGGGAAGAGAGAGGGACTTTGTGTTCAGCTGCTGCTGAGTGAACTGCGAGTGGTATGCTGAGAATAACGATGGCAAAACCACAGTCCGATCATAATAGTAGAACAACTGTGTTTCCTGCAATATTCATGAACTGTATTTTTTCAGGGATTCAGGTAGGAACCCTTTTTATAGTGCATAGATCCATTCTTTAAAATTTACAGCAAGTTTAGATTTCATAGCAGCTCGATGGAGCACACCATTGGGTATTTGTGTCCTTCAATCCATTCCATTTTTTGAAAACATAATTTCCCCCGTAATCTAATTTTTCCTTTTATATTTAGGATCCTCCATTGGAGTATGTTAAAAGAAACAGAAGTACAGTATTTCGTATAGTGCCAAAGTTCAAAAAAGAAAAGGCCAGAACACAGAAGACCAGGCCTCAACCTGGTATGTTTTTTGATACTGCAAAGAAAATTAAACTGCTCTGGGGAAATCTAACATTCCATGGTCAGATACCGTGAGGTGCTTTCTGTATATTCAATCAGTATTTAAATCACCAAGAGATGACATATGTTGTTCCTGTTTGAGTGACTGATGAACACATGCTGAAGGGCTTCTGCATTGTATCTGACATCACTTCCCTTTGAGATGATGTGCCACACCGTCCACTGGTTCATCTGCAGTTGGATCAGTCATCCCTACAAGTCTAATCTCAGATTCGCAGTTTTCAGCCTATCTCTTGGAATCCTGGGATTCCTTGGAAGCTTATTGGTTCTTTGTCATTGACAAGATCCGTAATGGCAGAGAAGCTCTCCTGAAAAACAGTTTGCTTTCCTGTACTGATCCCCCCTGTGTAAGCTGAAAAGAAGTCCTGGGCGACTCTTCTGGGGTTTGTTGTGCCTCCTGTTATGGGGCCTGATCAGCTTGGCCACAGAGCCCAGTGTGAACGTGACCACTAATGCCTCTGAACTCTCTGCCCTGGTCAAGGTTATGGCCGTAGCCAGCGCTACGTGGGAAGGGCTCTCTTAAGGCGGAGGGGCAGAAAGCGACTGTCTTCGATAATTACGCTAATTGTATTTGCTGGTGGAGAGGAGGATCTAAGACAATTGTTCACTAGGAAAGTTTGCTAGGAAATAGCAGCTAAGTAGATGTCATCATCTTCTCAAAAAATAATGCTATTCATGACACCGATTTTACATCAGGGTCTTTTAGTAAGCAACAGGGTGTTTTTTAATGCTGGGGGAAAACATGAAAACAAGCATTATTCATAAAACAAAGAGGCTTAATTGAAATTATTGGCCTTTTAAAATCATTGTGTGCTGAAGTTTAACTTCTGAAGCAAAATAGCACTGAACAAAAGACACATGTGTAGAAAGAGTAGTTTACTTATTGAGCTTGGATTTCTCAGCCTAATGCAAACCACTAACCCTAGAGAACAATATTGGCAGACTTTTGAGCTGTGCTAGTCATCACTAACAATTATGGACATATTTGCTGAACTATTTAATAACCACAATTGTTGTGTTTTAATGACTGCAAAGTTTCCACTCCCCCCATCCAGTGAGTCATTACTAGTATATAGCTGAACATACACAGCCCTCACAGCTCATACTGTTGTGACCAGTGGATTTGGTGATGTTCAGAGGTTTGATAGCTTTGATGCTGAAGCTGGAAGCCTGGCTGCGATGTGTCTTGCTCCACCTTTTCCTTTTTTTCCCTTACACGCGTTCTCAGGTTTTGTTAACCTGTAACCTGCATGAAAAAGAAACTGCCTCTTTTTGTGAAAGTACACCCAACTTTTTGCTTCTGTGTTCTGTTCTGCTTTCCACTTTTCTGTGGCCTAACCTTTGCTTGTAATGCAGTTGAGCATGTAGAAATTAAGGGGGTTTTGCTCTTAACTTTGGTAGTTCAAAAATGGGGCACAGATGAAGTTGCTGCTTGGCTGGATCTGCTCAGTTTGGGAGAGTACAAAGAAATCTTCATCAGCCATGACGTCCGAGGCTCTGAGCTTTTGCATCTGGAAAGGCGAGATCTTAAGGTATTTCTTTGTGCTACTTTTCCACTCCTGGGAATTTTCCTTTGACAGTCATTTAAACCTTTCCCTTATTCCCACTCTGGTTATATGCTTGTAGCTTGGCTTTTAATATGCAAATACCCCCCAAAATAAAAAGCAGACCCACATACCCCAAAATCAATACACATTGTTGTTGACTGATACTTTAATCTGGTAGTACCAAGAATACTTGAGATGTCCTTCTGTCTTGTGGAGTTACAATAATAGCCCAGGTTCAGCAAAACGCTCCGGTTTTCCTTAGGAATATGTTCACTTGTGTCGGAATGATCACATTAATTTGAAATAGGGATTCCCCCCCTCCCCCAGGATCTGCATAGAGGTAACTTGTAATTCATTAACCGACATGATAATTGATCAAGGTGCAAATGATGCAAGATTTTTTAAAATTTATTTGAATCGTCGCTTCCTCAACTGTCTCCCCTTTTAGCCATTGTACTCGACATTCTGCAGGCAGGGCCAGTTAGGTCTCCTCGCATGGTACCAGACCCTTCGCTCTCGGGCTGGCCGGGCCTGGGGAGCTGGAAACGCCGGGCTTGTGCCTGGTGGGCCAATGGATCCAGCTCCCCACCCCTCCCAGCCCGAGGTTTAAAACCGGCCGAGAGGACAGCAGCTCCACCTGCTCTGGAAGCAGCACCTGCAACTCCTCTTGTCCAGGCTGAACGGAGGCCGGAATCCCGCAAAGGACGACACAGACACACCCCGTGACACGGCCCAGGAGGGGGAGCCCAAGCTGGCGCAAGGGAGGAGCTCACTGCCCCCACCACTCCTGCCACGCAGAGGCAGATTATGCTGGGCTGGCAGTCCGGGGGTTGGCTCACTGGCTCTGGCGCCGGGGGGGGGGACAGAGGGAAGTTCTGGTGGAGAAGCTCCAGTTCCATGGGAAATGAGTTTCAGGGGCAATTTCTAGCATTTCTTCCCTCTTTCCAAAAAAATCTTTTACCTCTCATCTTTTGCTGGAATCTCACTCTCCTTCGTGACAAATTGGGAAAGGGTTTTACAGAAGTGAAATTCACAAGGCTAAAGTGCCCCTATCATAAAGAATACTTTCCCTGCCTGTGCCATCCTGGCCAGAGTTGTGCCCTTCCTGGTTCACTGAAGCCAAATGGGGCTTAGAAGAAGAAGAGAAGAAGAGGAGATTGGATGTATACCCCATGGCCCTTCACTACCCAAAGGAGTCCCAGAGGATCTTACAATCTCCTCTCCCTCCCCCTCCCCACAACAGATACCCTGTGAGGGAGGTGGGGCTTAGAGAGCTCTCTCGAGGACTGCCCTTGAGAGAACAGTTCTGAAAGAACTTATGACTGACCCAAGGTTACACCAGCAGCTGCATGTAGAGGAGTGGGGAATCAAACCCGGTTCTCCCAGATTAGAGTCCGCACTCCTAACCACTACACCAAACTGGCTCTCATCAGAAGGGCCTAACTCTGGTTAAAAGGTAAAGGTAAAGGTTCCCTTCCTCGAAAGCCAGTCGAATCCGACTCTATGGTTGCGGTGCTCATCTCCGTTTCAAAGCTGAAGAGCCAGCGCTGTCCGAAGATGTTTCCGTGGTCATGTGGCCGGCATGACTAAATGCACACCAAGGCGCACGGAACGCTGTTACCTTCCCACCAAAGCGGTACCTATTTTTCTACTTGCAATTTCTTGCTCTCGAACTGCTAGGTTGGCAGGAGCTGGAACTAGAGATGGGAGCTCACTCCGTCATGCGGCACACTCGGGTCTCGAACTGCCAAACTACTGACCTTCCACAGCCTGCAGTTCAGCGTCTTAACCACTTGAGCCACTGCAGCTCCTTAAACTCCTGTATAGGAGTGCACTGTCCCACGCCTGTCTAGAATATGGAGTCTCTTCATCCCTTGTGATCTGTTTGTCTTTCTTTCCCCCTCTCTCGTGACTCTCCCTTCTCTTCCCCACTCTTCAGATTCAGAGTATAACCTCATTTCCCTTGTAATGCTCGACAAAGCACGATATACTCTGCAGCATAAGAATCCTTTTTGATTTCAGCATCAACACTCATGTTCTCTTTCCCCTTCTGAAATCCAACTGGTGTCAGCCAGCTGAAGTCCTCATTTCCTTACTGATGTTCGCGCCCAAGAAGGAAATGGTCGCCGCTTCCTGACGGAGCAGGTTGGCAGCCCCAGATGGGGGATGCTGTGAGACCCTCCCTTGCAGAGGCCGTTCAGGTCTTGCCACGCCCGCAGCTCTTTTCCCCGGCAGCAGCTGCTTTCTTCAGCAGCGCTCCCTGGTGACAGTGATCCATACACTTATCACCTCCAGGTGGGACTACTGCAATATGCTCGCCATGGGGTTACCCTTGCAGATAGCTACTTCAGAACACAGCAGCAAGACCGCTATCAGGCATTGACTACAGGCTGCATATTACCCCAGAGTTTAAAAGAGTTTCTCTGGTTGCCACTTCCTAGCTCAATGAAATGTGCCAGTTAGCTCCAAATGGTACCTCCAGGAGCACATCTGTCTGTAGGGAGCCTCTGGCCTGAACAGGTGAGGCAGGGGGCCACGAGAGACGGGGCCTCTTCAGCGGATTTTATTTATAGTTCATGGATTACGGGATTTAAAACTGTGCAATCATCATGAGACGAGCAGTGAACAGCGCAGCAGAACTGGAGAGCAATGCGAACCACAAACTAAGGCAGCCACAGCCTGGGTCCATGTGGCCAGAGCAGCTGAGAAAAGGTGGGGGGACCCTCTTCCAGGCTGAATGAAGCTGGCAGAAGGCCTTCTTCTGCAGCTTCATTGAGTCAGTTCTCCAGGAATAGTGCTGGATGCAGCGTAACCCCCGTGTCCTTCACGTAGTCAGCAAGCGTCAGCAGGACCCCATTAAAAGGGGGGTCCTTCGAGACCTCAGACTTCCCAACTAGAATTACCTCCATCTTGTCAGGATCCACCTTCAATTTGTTCATCCTTAACCATTTAACAACAGCAATAGGGCCTACTGGTTCGGGACCTCTCCAGTATCATCAGGTGGTGTGGAAAAAGATAGAGCTGAGTGTCATCAGCCTTCTCCACGTCCACAAATGATTTCTCTTAAGGGCTTGACATATAGATTGAACAGCACTGGAAAGGAGACTGAGCCGTCAGGAACCCCTCAAGTTCCCCACGGATGACAGTTGGTTTCCAACAGCAACCCTCATGCTCATAATGAATGATTTAAACCAATCCAAGGTAGAATCAGTGGAAATCACTGGCCTCCCTTCTGAAGGACTCAAGTGCCTTTGGGTCACTGGAACAGTGTGGTTGGATGGGGGACCTGCCTGTGTTCACTTTTACTGTGGGTGCCTGGACGAATCATTTTAATTTCTCTGATTCTTTACTGGTTCTTTGGCTCAACTGTTCTTTTCGGTGGTTGCTTTTAGTTTGTTTTAGGATAATTAGTGTTGTTACAACCTTCAATTTCTACTGATACTATAATTTTCTTGTTGTATTGCCTTAGTTGCAAACGGCTTTCACGGTTTCGTTTTTAAGAGAGACAGGAGGGAAAGTGCCACCACGTTGCAGCTGACTCGCAGCAGGCGGGTTCAGAGGTGGTTTCACCCACTGCCAGCCTCTGCGTAGCCACCCTGGACTCCCTCGCTGGTCTCCCCTCCAAGGACTCACCGGGGCCGCCCCTGCTTGGCTTCCAAGATCTGATGAGAAACCAGCCCAGCCTGGGCTGTTGCAAACCAGTTTCAGTGATTAGTTTTTCAGAGAGACAATATATAAATACTTAAAATAAAATAATTTTTTTTTAATCAATGTGTTTATTGGGTTTTCATACACAATAAACAAACATACACACAAACAAACAAAGAAACATTTTTCTATACATCATATTGCTCATTCGATTTGGTTGTTCCTACATACATTACTTATTTACTCTACCCTTTTACTAACCAACTATAATCATTACCTGACACATTTTCAGCCATTTTTACTCATCTTCTCTGTTCAGTCACTAAGCATCCTTCATTTTAACAAGGTTACACATTCCTGAGCTTTATCTATCCAATCTCATCTTTTACTTATTTCTGTTCCACAATAATAATAAAAATTTGAAGGCAAAAAGTAATAGATGCATTTTGTTACAGTGTTATTTCCAGTACTATTTTTGTTTTTTAAAAGTGCCAGTACTCCTATACCCCGTTAATATCCAACTTGGTGAAGAGCTCCAGAGAACTCTTCCAGAGAGCAAGCAAAGAAATGCCAAAAACTGTACTAGATGTTTGAAAAATGGACTTGAGTATAACCCTCAAAACACAAGCTGTATTAAATTGTACCATATCAACAGAAGAGAAGTAAACTGTCAGTCTCTTGAACAAAATTACTCACAACAACACTCTCTCAGCAGAGATATGTTTATTGAGTAGTAAAGATGATTCAAGCTAAGGCTTCTTCGTGTCAGAACTAAAGATTTGGTGCCAATGCCTGAAGATATACAGATATACAGCTCCCCCCCCTCAGTGTCCCACCCAATCAGTCCATTCATTCCGCCTGTCTAGCTTTCGTGCTCTTCTACCCTCCACCACCACCTGTGAGGCACCCGCCAGGTTATCTGTGTTAGCGGAGCAAGCAGAGACAGGGAGGCATCTTGGGAAACGGCTGCGTAGCAAAGCACCCCCAGTCTCTCTCTCTCTCTCTCTCTCTCTCACACACACACACACACACACAGAAGCTCCCCCCCTTCCCAGCTGTCTACAGCAGTACACTTTCCCCATGGCAAACAAGGTGCTGAGTTTGACATAAAGCTTAACTCATCAGTAAGTGTCATCTCTCCCTGGCATCCGGTCCCTTCCCGTCCTTCTCCGCCCAGGGGCAGGGCCAGAGGAGCTCCAGGTCAGCCGCCCTCTGTGCACTCATGGCCCAGGAATCCACGGCACCGTGGAAGCCCTGTCACCACAACCTGTGATCTGTCGGGGGGGGGGGGGGGGCTTGTCTACCAACCAAAAATGTGCCAGGATGCTGTATCAATGCATACTGGCACAAAAAACGCTCTGGTTATTTCCCAGAGTTCATTTCTATATCTCATTGCATTGCTGGCCATCTTTAAAAATCACCATTTTGAAGGTATTCCCCTATTTTTTTTTATATGACATATAAATAGATTTGGTTTCTTTGTTAATTAGTTTGATGCCAGTCAAGTTGACGGGATCAGTATACCAAGGTCAGACGGTACAAACCAGGAGAGAGCCTCTTGGAGCGGTCTTGTCAGCCACCCGGGTTTCCTCCCTACTCCAGAAGTCAGCCAAGGCTTTGCCAGGGGCACTCTGTCATAGCAACACGAGACATCAGGAAACCATCCAGCCGTTGGGGGAAAATCATTCTAATTGGTTCTACACAGTCCTGCAGAGTACTGGAATGCCCATTAGTATAAAATCTGTCAGGTTAGATTAGGGAACCTAATCAGAGCTCATCCTAAAAAAAGATCAATTTGGGGGAAAGTAATGTCAGCCCAGGAGCTGCGGTGGCTCAAGTGGTTAAGACGCTGAACTGCAGGCTGTGGAAGGTCGGTAGTTCAGCAGTTCGAGACCCGAGTGTGCCGCATGACAGAGTGAGCTCCCGTCTCTGGTTCCAGCTCCTGCCAACCTAGCAGTTCGAAAGCAAGAAATTGCAAGTAGATAAATAGGTACCGCTTTGGTGGGAAGGGAACAGCGTTCCGTGCACCTTGGCGTTTAGTCATGCTGGCTACATGACCACAGAAAACGTCTTCGTACAGCGCTGGCTCTTCAGCTTGGAAACGGAGATGAGCACTGCAACTCTAGAGTCAGATCCGACTGGCTTTGGAGCAAGGGAACCTTTACCTTACCAATGTCAACCCATTGCTACACAGTCTTGAGCAGCAGAGCAGTTCTGGTTTGAAACGGCTAAAAATGGGCAAGTCAGGAGGGGAGAAATATTCCCCAACGTTCCAGGCAGAGTCTTTAAAATCCTTCCCAGCGATCACAGCACTGAAGCCAGAACAATCTCGAGGGTGAGAGGGAAGGAAGTAAGATTGGGGGGGGGGCAGGTGCCGCATGCCGCTGCACAACAAGAACAGCCTGACCACAAGAGAGGACGGGCAGCGGATAGCAAGTGAAATGAAACACACGCAGGAAACACTGTCTAAGCTCACCAGTTTTCAGAATTTAAAACATCCCTCAGCAGTCTAACAGCATTAGAACTTTGTTAACATTATAGAAAGATGAATGCTGGTAGCAAAAGTTAGACGAGATTATGCAAAGAAAGCTAGAGGATTTAGACAACCTCTTGAGAAAACTTAATTCAGAGATTTCAAGGAGAAACCTGAAGAAAATGATACTGAAAATTCTATATTCAGTTGTCTCAAATAATGAATCTAAAAGATGGAGTGGTTCATTTTTATATGTGCATTGAATTATATTTATTTTCTCAGATTGGGACTGGGCTGTGTATATTGGTTTTAAACCAGCAGCATCGCGCTCAAGCTATTTATTTATTTATTTATTACATTTGTATCCAGCCTCCCCCGCCATGGCAGGCTCAGGGCGGCTTACAGAGTGTGTGTGTGTGTGTGTGTGTGTGTATATACACACACACACACACATATATACAAATGTTAAAACACAAAATACAATTAAAATCACAGCATAAGATCATCAGTGCTAAGGACATGGATATTAATACAAGATGGCAGCGTTCTCTCAACATTGGAAGGTCGCCCACCACCATAGTCCAGGTTCCTGCCAGGTTGTTGGTCATTGAGCTTGGTGCTACTGTTAGAACCCGGAGGTGACGTCATCACACCAGGCACATCGCCACGGGGCACTCGCCCTAGTTCTTTATTCCCGTGAGAGCCAGTTTGGTGTAGTACTTAGGAGTGCGGACTCTAATCTGGGAGAACTGGGTTTGATTCCCCACTCCTCCACATGCAGCTGCTGGTGTGACTTTGGGTCAGTTTCAAGTTATTTCAGAGCTGTTCTCTCACAAACAGTTCTTGAAAGAGCTCTCTCAGCCCCACCTCCCTTAATTTGCGTTGTGATAACATATAAAGAAACAATTTTATGGTATATTTATCCAATTTTAATCCTAAATCAATCTGCGTGTTATGCTCCATCTTATCTATTTTATACGCCAATAAAGAACTGGTTGATTGATTGACTGATTATTTTATTTTCAAACCATTCCGATAACACCGTCCACTAGAATTTATTTGGGCTGGTGGGAAAAGTACATATGTCATTCTAAACCCCCAATGTCTGCCTTGTAAATCAGTGCACCGGAAAATCCTTTATGCACAAGTGGCATTTTAGGAAAATGGTTGCATTTTCTGCTGAAATGTCTACAAGGACAGGAATATTAAGCTGTATTTGGATTTACTAAGGGTGGTGATTAACAAGACCGAGATGCTTGAAATATACAAAAGACACACAAGCCTTGACAGTGACGACTAAAGGGGGTCTCCACAGTCAGAGGCGGCCGCTTTACTTCGTAATATTTTATTTTTATTTTTTAGATTTATATCCCGCCCTCCCTGAAGGCTCAGAGGTCCCACACTGTAACCAAGGAATAAGTTCATTGTTATAAAACACGAAAAGCATGGGGTTTTTTTTAATTGTTCTTGAGGTGTTGAGTCCACGGAGCTAATTGCTACGCCATGGTTCCCCAACGCGGTGCCCAAGGGGCCTGTGGTGCCTGCTGACACCTTTCTTCACACCTGCCCAGTGTTTTTAGAATGTAGATGGGGGGCAGGTGGGGCTTTTGCCTAGCAGGGGTTCTGATTGGCCACTGGCAGTCTGACTGGCTGTATGGGTTATTTAAAAGTGGCCGCCACAGCATAAGGATCTTCACTGTGTTACTGTTTGTGTATGCAAGAAATAATTTTAAATATGTTCATTTAAAAGGCATCCTGTTAAAACAGAACTTCTCCCTGAAATGTTGAAGAGTTAAGAACATGAGAGAACCGCATGTTGGATCAGGCCAATGGCCCATCCAGTCCGACACTCTGTGCCACACAGTGGCCAAAAACACCAGGTGCCACCAGGAGGTCCACCGGTGGGGCCAGGGGACACCAGGAGCCCTCCCACCATTACTATTACTATTAGAGTTATACATAACTTATCTCCCTGGCATTTCATGCTTGGCTCCGCCTCTGGAGGCAGCCATTTTCTAGTTACGTCCACCACCCCATGTCAGGGATCCAAAGATGCCCAAAGACTCAGAAAGGTGTGGACCCCTTCCTGTGTGCAATATTCTTATTGCAGCTGTCCTATTGAGAAAGGAAGAATTGTGATATCCATTTTGATTGTGCCCTCTTGTTTTAGCTTGGGTATAAACTTCATGTGAATGGTGTGTGAGTGTATATGAATATTGTTGTAGATCACCGAAATGATTGCATCTTTAATTTCGTTGTACTATGTACAATGACAAAAAAGTATATTATTATTATTCATGCCTGAAGGAAACATTCTGAAAGTTCTCTTTTCAGAATGCTGCATTATGTCTCGAATAGCTTATTTCTAGTGATCTCTGTGTAGGGAAAATAGGGAAAACACAACCCTTTCCTTTCTGAAATGTGGTCATGAAATGCCTCCAAAGGGACTCTCTGGTACTTACAGCAAACAAAACCCAGACTCCACCAGTGAAAGTGTGCACTATTTTTCCTCAGACAGACATTATTTCACTCTAGAAAAGCATTTATTGCATAAAGATGTTCTTGGGAGGGGAGGCAGCCTGGCACAGCCCAGTCCCACCCGATCTCAGAAGCCAAGCAGGGCGGGTACTACTTGGATGGGAGACCGCCAAGGAAGGCTCTGCTGAGGAAGGCCGTGGCCAACCACCCCTGCTCCTCACTGGCCTGGAGAGCCCCTTGCTGGGGGGCTGCATAGTAAAGGTGTTCTCAGTTATTTTTCTCTGAAGGGAAGTTTTTCCTTCTATGACAGCCAGGAAATCTCGTATCTGTCATGGCACGAAGGGGAGAAATCTGAGGAAGCTGGTCGATGGCCCATAGAGTAACACCAGAGATTATCTCAAGGGTTACGATGCTTATGATACAGAGGAGAAGATGCTTAGCCCTTTGTAGCATCTTTGATTACCAAGTCTAAAGCACTTAGGTGAGCAATCCAAAGCAGGCCTACCCAGAAACCTGCTCCGGCCTATCCACTGGGGCTGACCCCCAGGAGAATGTTCCTAGGATTGCACTGTAGATGTTGTGCATTTTTATAGTAAGGTAAGTAATTTTCCTTTAAGCCTAAATGATATCTCAGTAGGTTCTAACGTCTTTTTCTGCATTAAAAGAAATAAATAGTATTCGCTCTTCAAGTCTGGAAGTGCATCTGCTATGCAAAACAACCAAAACTTAATAACAACAGTCGCCGTTCTCTTTGTAATCCTCACACCAACCCTGTAGGGTTTCCAGTATGATTTACTGTAGCATGTAACTGTCACACACTGATTGAAGGAAACATTGATTGTGGGTATATATCACTGTGATCACGTTACCCTTCAGTAGAAACTGGGACATCTGTCTTGGTCCTGATGAGTAAAGATAAAACTGGTCACCGAACGCTCTTGCTCCTGTAAATGAACTCTGCATTCTCTTTGTCTTGTAGGACCTGGGTATAACGAAGGTGGGCCATATGAAGCGAATTTTGCAGGGAATTAAAGAGCTGGGCAGGACGACATCTTTGCCTGAAGTGTAGTGGTACAGCTACTGTGGAAGGAGAAGTGCCACTTCTGCAGAGCTGTGGGAGCACGTGGCCCTCTGCGTACGTCACTCCGTGGGCGAGTGGCCATCCGTATGTAACGCGCCTGTTACTTTATCTGCCGCCTTTGACAGGAGAGCTGGATGTGGAGAGTTCAAAAGGTTTTGCGTTTTTAAAAACGCTGTGAAATATATGTTGTGAAGAGCAGTGTCGTAAATTGTGGGGCTGTGTGGTTTTATGCTTTATCTGTCTAGGGTAGTCCTAGTGTAATTACATATCTGGGTCTCTTCTCAGTGCAGCAGCAATTAGCTTTATGAAATGAGATTGCTGAATTTGAGAACTTCCCAGAATCTCTTGTACAATTTTCTGACAGAGATTGATCACATGTGAGTCTTTAGGTGACACAGATACCTCAGCACCCCCACCCATTCACTAGCCAAGAAATAAAGCTATAGTTAGGCAGCATCCCAGGGGTGCGAATGGTGCCATCCCTGCCAGAACTCTGACTGCCTTTTTTTTTTCTTTGCATGACACAATTTATGTGACTGAACAACTTTTATATCTTTTTCAAGGAGACTTAATTTATGACAGCTCTGTGCTCTCGTCAGAGACTTTTCCCGTTGCATGTTACCTAAATGTGCTGTTTGGTAAAGAACTTTGGCTGTAAATGTCTCTGGCGTACTTGGCAAGAAAATTGCTATCTACGACAGAAAGTGTCTGTACTCTTGATGGCAAGTCCTTTCAAAAGCCTGGTTTCTTGTGGGGTTATGATCTTACTTCCAAGGGAAAGAAAAAGCTATAAATATGCAACATTTCTCTGCTGTAGCCTCTCCTGAGGCAACTACTTGTCTACCTTGAACAAGAGCATCGCAGCCAATAGTCAACTGGCTGTTTTCAGATTCAGAGATGGCAGCCTGGTTATGAGTCGTGACTTAAAACTACTTCACATTGAAGGCAGACTCCAGGACCAACTTTGCGACTATCAGGGCTTGATTATGCATTTTTTTTAATGAAATCAGATTTTGAAACGTAACAATTACCAGTCAGATGAAGTCTTTGTCTTGCCATTGGGTGTCCTTGCTGAACACTGAAAACGTCTTTCAGTGTGGGAATTATCCTCTTCAGAAGCATTTAGTACAGGCTGCCATGTGTGAAGGTTGGATTGTTGCTTCCCCTCCTCAATCAGTGCACTCATTAATATGAACACGTGAACTAGATTGTCTGATTGTCTTACAGACTCTAATTCCTTTCTTTAAAAAGTACAAAATGCATTTGCTTTTCTCTCTCAAGTGAGGTAGGAGTCTTTCACAGGAACTTTTCACATTAGAAAAGAGCAATGTCAAGTACTTGGTCATTGCTTTTCAGCAATGAAAAACTTTCATGCAGTGCAAAGAAATAACTTTGCTGCATCAATGAGATGCCAAAGCATCTCCATTGCCGGTCCCCCATAGGGGTGGGGTCCAAACTGGCACCAGCAGGAGGGGCTCCTGCAACCAGGTCTCCCCCCCCCCCGCTGTGCCCTGCAAGTGATCTGCTGAGGACAAGGGCCCAGGCAGGGAGCTTTGGCGAAAGGCAAGCGGCAAACAGGCCTTGCCCCTCCTCTCCTCTCCTCGTGGGGCAAACTCAGCTGCTACAAGGCTTGCTTCGCTCATGCAAGGGCAATTTTACTGACTCCTCCTATCTGAGATCATTCTTCCAAGGTATAGAAGAGCATTCATGCTAGCGTGCCTGAATGCCCTGCCTTCAGCTGTGACATCAGGAAGATTTAATGGGATTTCATAGTCAGACTCTGTAATTGCGGCAGCAGTAAAATTGACTCTGTGGATCCTGTTCTGCTTCACTGTCCCCAGTTTTCAGCTCTAAGAGATGAACTGATCTCTACTTTATTTAATCAGGATGTCCTCTCTCCAGAAGCAAAATCATCCTGGTTACTTAGAGACAAAGACAAACAAACTACCCTGCGTGTGGGAAAATTTCTAGCAGCTGCTGTCAAATCACAAGACAGCTTTTGCAGTAGCGCAACCTTTAAATATTTCCATGTTTTCCTGTGGGACGAGGGTTTGCTGTTTATGACTCTGGTTGCAAAAACAGTGAGGACAATAACGACAGTAAGAATGACTCTCCCCTCCTGGCAAGAGGGTTCATCTAGCTTGTGAGTGTCTCTTGGCCCTCAGCAGAGGATGTCTCAGGGCACACGTGGGGGGTGACTAGGGGAAGAGAGCGACAATCTACTTGTGTGAGATTCCTTCCCCCGTACAAGTTTGGATCCAGCCCGTAATTAAGAAGAACAAGTGCCCGTGGCTGCTTTGGCGCTTCCACTTAAGCAGCAGCAGCAGCCAGCCACGGGCCATCCTGAGGGATGCTACCACGTCTTCCAGAAATGTGGGGGAAGCGTAATTCAGAGGGATGAAGTGCTGCTCCTGAGAACTGTGTCCGCACTTGAGCAGGACGTTACACCAGACAGCACGAGAGATGCAATTCCAAAAGGACTGTCTTGGGATTATCTGTTAACTCGTTGTACATATGCATAAAGTACTTGACATTGACATCATGATTTTCAGATGGGACTTTATTCTTTTTGATAATTTGACTGTTTATTTTTATAAACGTCTTCTACAGAGTGCATGCACCCACACAATTGTCTGGTTTTATAGTGATCCAAATGAAATTGCTGTTAATGCATGTACTGAAGTCCCTTAACTTAGAAAAAGGAACTTCTTTTCTAGTGATAAAACTGGTTCTCTGAAACTTATCTGTTCAAAAAGTCTTCTCCAGAAGGATGTAGAGAGTAAGTGACATCTATCATAGTGGCAGGTCTTTGATGAGGACTCATTCCTCTGGGTTTTTTAAATATGTTATCTGATTTAACACAGATAGCCTTTCAGCTGTCCCTTATATGAATATCCCAAGATCCTTTTAAAAATTGCATTTTTAAAAAGTAGAAGATTCTAATTGCAACTGTAAATTTCTGATGCAGAAAAATGCCTGGATATTTTGCAGGGGGGGTTCCACTCTAAAGATCTGTGGGCATTCTCACTGGGACATATCAGAAGTCTATGAGGTGTAGAACAACAACTTTTGTATAAAGCTGTTGCAACCTATTTCATATAGATAGAGGGGTAGATCCTGCCTCTCTCTGCCCATTCAGCTGAGCAGCCTTCCTTGAGCCTAAGGAGCTTCCCCTTCCGACTCACAAAGTTCTTGCACTGTCAGAAGAGCGACTTGAGTTGGAGGATGGTTGGATATGCCCCAGTACTTCTAAATGAGAGGATAAATACTGCCAGTTCTCGTTCTGCTTAATGGCAGCGATCCTTTAGAAGAACTTCGCTTGTAAAGGCAGGCAGGTCATTTGTGGATGCGTGTAAATGTTTGCAAGTAAAACAGGGCTGTGAGAGAAGACTTAAATTTAACAATGTTTGGATGAAGCTGCAAAAAGTTGCGTGCGTGTGTCTGAACATCTGCATGGATTGCCACAACCAGCAAGCACGCTACCTGTTTTGCTATGTTGGGTGTGTTCTTTGGGTTTGTCTGTTACAACATTATCTACCAAAGCTTTTGAATATATTTCCTTTCTGAGACACACTGTGAGCCAAGCTTTCTGAGCAAAATCTCTCAAAGGGATAAGGTGTGTTACACATAAAGGGAAGATATAATTTTATCCATTCTGATCTTGAGGGTTTCTCCTTTCATCAAGTTTGTGCCTTTCCCGTGCCCGCAGTCAGTGGGACACGCCCCTTGAGCCCAGCCAAGAGGGCAGATGGCAAAGGGCGTGGCTTGGCAGCAACCCCCCCCCCCAGACGTGATTCAGCTCTTGCCGGTGGGCCCGTGTGTTGTTCTACAGAGCCTGCTCCTCTGGCTGGCCAGCTGTTGGGCCTGGCATCCACGCCTTTTTGCTCCTTCCCTCCCTTAGGTAGCCATCTTTTCTTTGGACCTTCAGGTGGTTGTTTGGTCAATACGGCCAAAGCGGAACCCCCCTTGTAGGTCAGAGTGGCGTAGTTTACAGGTTTTGTCGCCATCATAGCAAAGGAAATAGATTAAAAAATAAAACTATCTTCTTCAGTAGAAAACAGAGTTACTTACAGACTGGAGGTATAACACAAAAAGCACATCTGAAAGATTTCATGTCAACCAGACAGGTTTGTGAATGTCAACACTCACATAACTACAAAAGCAGAGAATGACAAAAATACAATATATAGGAAACAGTATGATAAGGTCTTCAGCCAGTTATACAATGATGGAAATGGACATCAAAATGGCAAAGCACACAATAAATATAACATTCCACTGACAACTCAGTGATGACGGATAGCTAGCTGGAGTCTACTTCAAAACCAGTCTTCTTCAGAAAACCCTCAAGTCGTTTGTGTCTCTCATCTGCATGCTTAGAGATGTTAAGAATGATGACTGCCCATGGGGCATAATAGGATATAGGGTATGCACCCCCCCACTGCCCTGGCCAATTAGCCACCCTCCCACGCGCGGGAGAAAGAGCCTCGGCCGTTTAACGCTGAAGCTGGGAACAAAACACTCTCGCATGGTTCCCAAGAAAATCAGACATCAACATCTCCACCTGCAATACTTAGAGACAAGCGTTGTAGCAGCAAAGAAGCACAGAAGGAATGCAAAGGCAACTAGAAGACAGCCAACCTCCCCACCCCCATGGCAGCATAGCTGACACAGGGTCACTGTGGCAATTACTGAATTCTTACAGAGGTGTGGCAGTCACGTCATTCAGGGCTATGCAGGGTGGGATCCTTGCACGTCCTCATGGGGTGGCCTCCTTCAGAGACCACGGCGGAAATGAGATATGTGACGTGAGGCCCCCTTGTTTGTTGGCGATAGGCATGATCTGCAGCCCCCGCCACGTCTTTGCCTCACCTTGAATTGCCTTTTCCTGATTCCTGCCAGGCAGACGGGTGCATTTTCTGTTAGCAGATGAGAGGTCAGTGCCTGCCGCTGTGCCAGGACTAAGAAAATAGGTGACTAGAAAAGTT